GGAAGGAGCCGTGTGCTTTGTGTGACGGGCTGGGGTCGGTCAGGACCGGTTTCTGTCAGCGCTGATGTTGGCTTAACTCCGCAACACCGAACGTGAAGCAGGCAGGCGCCCAGCTCGGGCTCGTTCCTGCACTGCCTCGAGGTCCCTTTCGCGTAGAGATACCCGTTGAGATTCCGGAAACCCCCACAGCCGCTGCGCGGCACCGTGCCGACGCATGCTCGCTGACCCCAGCTGCCTCCAGCCCGTCTTCTCCCAGCCCTCGGCCTCGCTCGGCTGCCGCCGCCGCTGCCCACAGCATCCGCCGCACGGGACGGAACAGGGGTTGCATCGGCTTTTCCCCTCCGGGAGGAGAGGGCCCCACCTCGGCCTGGCAAAGCGGAACTGCCATACTGCTCCCAGCGTGCTTCCCGCCACCACGGGCTGGAAACGGGTACCTCCCTTCCGCAGTCAGCGTAACCGCGCGCCCAGGCGGCACGAACCCCTTGTGCAGACATTCCGAGAGTGCTTCGTCTCGCCTCTTTGAGGACAGTCACCTCCACTAGGTTTAGTGCTGTGCTTTACGGTGTTGGTGAGAGTATTGGCTAATTCAGCTCGTTGGTATAAATGGTTGTGTAGCAGAATGACTGATTTTGAGATAGCATTTCCTGTCCAAGTAATTAAGCATGGGTTGATGGTGCACTTTGTATACAGTAACCTGGCATGCATGCTGGTAAACTACTTCCTACACTTCGGAGGCACCACAAGCCTTTTTATCCAATTGCTGGTTATGTAAAATACATGCAGGATGTTAACGCAGTGTTGTTATGGTAATGTGTGAACAGTGTTACTAATTGATATAACTGATTACTGATTACATGTGCCTGACATTCTTATACCACACAGTATGTTTAGGTTCTAACTACTCTGGACTTCGGTGGAATAGTCGTAGATATTTCAAGCCTTTTGTTTTACTTACACAATGGTGCTCTCTATTTGTGTTTTTCTCCTCTTTTTTCTTTTTTTTTTTTTTTTTAAATAACAGCATCTGAACACTCGTAGTACATATTACATCCAAAGGAGGCCAAAACAAAACGCTTGGGTTTACTTTGCCTTTACTTCCCAGCATTTCTCATCAGCTAAAGGGTTTTTTTGGGGGTTCTTTTTTCTTCTTTTGGTTATTTTTTTTTTTTTACTTGTTGCTGACTACTTTGGAGAACTTCAGTAACGTTACCAATTATGAAGTGATTCTGCACTGCCTTTGGATTGTGTATGTATTCAGAAACAGTCTTAAAGCTTTTATTTAAGCTATTAAAAAATAAAAAAGCCACCAGGGACTCGTGCCATTTGTTCTCTAACAGTGCTGTTGTAAAAAGACTTCCCTGTGAAAAAAAAAGTCACTCGCTATGAACTCTGTTTATAGCTTTTTTTTTTTCCCCCACAATGGATCTTTTTCTTTGTATTTGTACAGTGGCTCAGTGAAAGGTGTTGCCATGAGTTGATATTGTAACCAATAAACAAGTGCTTTTAACCAGACCCTGGCGCTCGTCGACGTTTGATTGGCGCGCTCCCAAAGCGGCGTTACAGGGGGAAGCTGCCCCAGGAATTCCTTGTTTCCCTAATGCAGGGTGGCCATGGCCTGAGGCTAGCCCCAGGCCCAGCCTGGAAACGGGGTGTTCCAGCACCCACTGCTCCTGATACCACAGAGTTGCATCCCTCCTCGGAGCACGGCATTAATTACTGTCCCCACACCACGTCCTCGGTTCCAGCGTGCCCTGCAGTGCAGGCTCTCCCCTCTCGTCCACCTGCCAAATAACGCACGGGAGCAGTGCGGAAGGATTTTTTTAATAAGCAGTTGCAGACAGGTGCACGTGACGTTTTACCGCCGTACAGTGTCCGTAACAACGCTCCAGCAGAGCACTAACACAAAGGGATCTCGGAGACACAAGGCCGGGCTGTTGCTCCTGGCTGTATTTCACCCTTTCCCTCAAACCCCTGGACTCCCGCGTAGGGCTAAGCACAGTGCTGCTCTCCTGCTCGCAGGGCCTGGGGCAGACGCCAAACACACCCTTGTCTCCTGGCGATTAACCACCCCCAGCACTAGACCCTAAATCTGGTCCTTTCCAGACAGCCCCTGGTTACTGGAAACCGGCAGATCCCCGCGTGGGAAAGCTGAGCAGTTCATCGTGTCTGTCATGTTAACACTGCCATAAAAATAGGGAAATAGTCTGA